TAGTACTAGTAGTACTACTGGTACTGCTAGTACTACTAGTACTACTAGTACTAGTAGTAGTAGTAGTAGTGGTAGTAGTCGTGGTGGTGGTGGTGGTGGTAGTAGTAGTGGTGGTGACGCACATGAAGTGATGAAGAGAGGCTGGCCCTATCGGTCAGACCAGCTGCCGCTGAATCCGACGTAGTGGCTCTACATTTTCATGAAGCCAAGTTCAACCTGCTCCGGTTTGGGAGGATAGAAAATAAGGATCTGAGGACAGAAGATCGCGAAGGGAAGCTACCTACATAAAAAGTGTCGCCAGGAGCTGACTAACACCGCGTGGGCATTTGCCTCCTTGGGCTTCAAGACACAGGCTTGCTTGAGCTTCGAAGTGCGTGTTTCGCCGAGTCTTGCCGTGTCTTTTGTGCTCTACCTGAGTGTTCGGCAAAGGTTTCGGGAGGCCGGGCAGAAAGAACAGCCTGACATAGCGTGACTTCAGTATTCTAGGCGAGGCTGGCAGCGACAGATGCAAGTCACAATTGTCATCCTATTTTTCTTGCTTGTATGCACGATTCGGTTGGTCCTGTTCCCATTACTCCTGGGGTTGCTTGACTCTTTCCCGACGCCAAGCTTAGCGTGGAAGTGAGGCAAGATGATGGCAATCCAAGCGCGTAAATGAGTCTTCCAGGTGTTCTTGTTTCGGCTGTGCCTCAAGTCCAAAAGCTTCTTTGGCGCAGGGCTTGTTCGAGGCACTGGGCAAAGAATGCATCTTGCATGCATTCTGGCCGTTCAACATTGGTAGCATGTTCGATTGGAATCTGCAAGCACTCAGGTAGCGCAAAGCTTCGCTACTTCAATTTGCCCCTGTGCAGCAGCAGATGATCGCTGTTCTATTTCCTTCATCTCTGAGACACGGTTGCAGTTAAGGCAAAATCTGACCAATGTGGCCTGGTCCTATTCGCATCTGAAAGTCTGCGACGACCTGCTGTCAGAGGTGGCGGCAGTGGCACATTCTCGGATCCATGACATGATACTGGGCTCGGATTATGCATCGCTCTTTCTGCTTTGATTTGCCTCTCTTCGTCTCGTACAGAAGCCGGAACGTTTTTCGGCTGGAGCGTAGTCGCAGTCGGATACCGAAATAGTGCTTCCCTGATGACAAAAACTTAGGAATGTCCAAGATCTGGCTCAGCTGGTTCCATTCTCAGACTCCGACACATGGGCTGGGCCCTTTTTGCAAAGCTCGGCCCAGGCCCTGACACTCGTCTTTAGCCGACGTGCAAACTTCGGCTTGAAGGCCATCCAGGGGCTGCAGGGTTTCGCCTTCAGGGATGATTATACTCTGATATAAAATAACTTGCTAATAACAATATACTATAGTATACCACAACATATGGTAATACATACAAAGCAGGTGTCCATCCCTGTCGAAGTTTTGGATCAGAGTCCTTCAGTCATGCCTCTCACCCTCTCCGTAAGACCTCTGTTCCCGTCGCTGTTTCGTTGACCCGCCTGTCGACGATAGTCCTTCCGGAAAGCGGCTGTGGGCAGGAGGTTCAGAGTTTGGGGGGTTAAGGGGCACATCATGGCACATCACGGAGTCGCCTTCGCGAGGGCAGAAGATGGGGCTGGGAATGAAAGCAGTTCTCGAAGCCAGGAACTAGCTAAAGGATGCAAACCAGAGCATGTACAAGATCTGGGACAGAGAAAGACCGGGGAATTCTATTGCAAAGCCCACTCTTATGCCAAGATCGGGCCAAAACACGTGAAGGCATCACTTTCAAGCCAACTGCTGTTAAGTACAAGAACTACATGAGAAAGTATTCCGCACGTGGTGCAATTGACCCCCTCAGGAAGGTTGTTTGTGATTGTTTGTGTTCTTCCAACCCAAACCCAACTCGCCCCTCCCCCATCTGGGCATCCCCACGAACACACCCATGCCTTCACGCAGGTATGCATGCATGCATGCATGCATGCATGCATGTATGCTTGTATGCATGCAAGCAAGCAAGCAAGTACGTAAGTATATCTCTTTGTTTGCATATATGTCAATAAGGGCAACAGCAACAGCAAAGAAGTGTTTAGATAGATAATGATAGGTAGGTAATTTTTTAACATGTACAGAATGAAGGAAGGAAGGAAGGAAGGAAGGAAGGAAGGAAGGAAGTACGCAACCATGCTTGCAAGCAAGCAAGTGAACAGCCGTGGTGTATTATTTATATTCGTACATACGTACATACACACATACATACATGCATGCATCTACCTGAAGTCTGACATGTGCAACTCCTCAGGAGGATCTGGGGGACGATGGCGTGCTCGGCAGTCGTGACTTGACCCTGGCATTGGTTGTCGAGGCCTTGCCCGGTGGTGAGAAGCAGCTGTGGTGGTTGTCCCGAAATCAAGCTTTTTTTCCAAAGAAAAATGGGGGGCTCCCCATCATTCAGAACCTGTTCTGCAAGGTGTACAGTAGTAGGATGCTCATCACAGACGCACGTCTAGTGAGAGATGCAGCTGTAAAACCCAAACAATACACGGCCCTTCACCCAAAGCCCTCAGCCCTGCAGGTGACCAAAGCCATGGTGCAAAAAATTCGCCAGCCTGGCGTCACGAACCTTGGCAGGTCCCAGTATGTTTCGCCTTTAGCGGCTTTGGAGTTTGGAATTAGTGGGTGTCTGACGAGGTATGTTGCAAGATTGTTGGTTGTCAGCGCCGCACAAGCCTTCCAGGCTAGAAAATGAAACTCCGCGTGCGGTTGAACAGGACGCATGCCGTTGCTAAGGAGATGGCAACGTGTCCTCTCAGGAGTTGGTCCTTATATGTCCTTACTGCAGAACCCCTGTAGTAACCCTCGTAGAACCCAGCCCTCTCACAAATTAAAGTGCGATATCCTGAGCCTAGGACGCCGGATGACGCCTGGATCGTTCATGACCTTGTTCTCGTGTGGCTGGAGGCACAAAGACTCGGTTTGTGTAGTATAGCCTTGTATAGTATAGTATAGTAGAGTACATAGTGTACAGTATATAGTATATAGTGTGTAGTATAGTCATCCGACTTCTGGAGCCCTCAGGAGAAGGTGGCCTCGGAGCTGTTGGGGGACTCATGGAATATGCTGGACGCGTGCCCTTGCCCGGGAGTACTCCCTGACTAGAGTCATGTTTGTGGCTCCATAAAGTATGACTCTGGTCGAATCCGAGGTACATGGCTGGCCGGCGCCTCAGTAACTGATAAAGGTCCAAAGGACCAGGGCTCTGCAGACACAGCGCTCAGGTTTGCACGATCAAGTTCTAGATTTCCTTCGCAACACCCCGCTCCTGGCACGCGCAGGGCCCTTATGTCATCCGTTGCAGAGTCGACACTTCGTGCTTACGATGCAATTACCGAGGCCCTCGCCTGCGGCTCTGTTGTGCAGTCTGCTCATGTCCCGATCTACGAGCAGCACTTAGACTGCACGTGGTGACATCGATATCGGGCGGGCTCTCAAACTTTGGGGTCTCTTATTCTCTTATTCGTGGATATCTTATTCACGGGTCCTTACGGAAGATGTTCTACTACTCTTCGGGGCCCTCTTCATTTTCTGTAACTTCCATTCTGAAAGACGTGCACATCACGAGCTCAGGTCTTTTCGAGAACTGGACATCAGGCCAACTTTTGCTGTGCAGACGAAACAACCGACTGCACCCCCGAAACCTTAACCCTCATGCCCTAATTCGTTTTGTAGATGTTGCCAGGTCCCTGGGGATCAAGTACACCGGCATGCTGTTGTCTGAGCTAGGCCTGACTGACAGGCCCGGAAGCTGGAACAGTACGGACGGTACGGACTCATAGTACTGCCTTTACACGCCTTTACGTTTTTAGCATGTGTTACAGTTGCAGTAACTGCGTCGCGACGCTGCATAGTACAAGCATAGACATAATGACATAGACACACACTGACACACACACACATGCACATCAGCTCCTGAACCATCTGTGGTTACAAAGAATTGAGATACTGTAAACTAAAGGCATTGAGAGACTCCGAAACCAGAACCTCAGCCGTGGGGTCCTGGTTCCGTTTCAGGCATCGCGGGAATTGGGTCATTCGCTTTACCTCATGCCGCGAAGTTTGTGTGTTTTTCGCAACTTCTGAATGGCTGGCTACTCAAGGGAAATGCTGTGAGGAGCGACTTGCTTGTGCTTCGCACGGCCGAGCTGTCGAATCTTCCAATTATTGGAATTTGCCTGTGTGCTTTTAGGTGAACTTAGGTGTCTACACGTTCTTCTGCGTCTGTGTGTATATCATGCGCAAATAAGATGTAATGCTATGTACTGTAATCATAATGGAATGAAATGGGGCAGAATTCATGCATGTTTGCATGCAAACCTCTGCTTGTTTCCCTTTGTGTTCTGTTGTTCTCTTCTTTGCCGGGCATGTCTCGCTCTCTCTCCCTGTATCTCCAACATTCTTGTTCATGCATTGAGATATACATGTCCTGGCAGACCACGATTGTAGTGGGATCACACGCCTTACCTGTTTGTACGTGCCTGAATGCACACCAACTGCTTCTGAGCTTGCTTGTCTTGCTCTCAATACATCTCTGTCTCTGTACATGAATGCGAACCCCCACAAACACTGCCAGGTTCTGTGTACGGATCGCTGTTTGTACATGTCCCCGTTCGTGCAGTTACAATTTCAATACTGCACGTAGCGAAAGACCTACAGCTGGGAGTCGAGAGACCGCGTTGTCATTTCTTGTTCTATATTGGTTGTTTTCTGCCAACTTGTTCAGTTCTTTGGTTCTGGGAAGGGAAACACCCCCGGGTCGAGCTGTGTGCACTTTCCCTATGCAACATGGCCCAAAGTGCTTAAGAAATTTGAGCGCCGGCTCGCTTGGCGCACCTATCTATCTATCTATCTTTGAACCTGCCTATCTATCTATCTATCTATCTATCTATCTATCTCTATTTATCTCTCTATTAATCCGTCTCGCCTACGTGCCTGTTTATAGAGATAAACTGCTGCATTCTCATCCGAGCGTGCAGAGGTAAAAGCTGCTGAACCCCAACCACCCACAAGACAAAAACAGCGCGTCTTTGGAATGGCAGGGAAGACGATGGGCTCACCGAGTCGGCTCGCGTTCTGCTGGCGGAGGAGTGCCTCAAGCTGAAAGTTTTTTGGGATCAATGTCCTGCCTTGATCAAAGGCGTGGGGCTTGAGCCAAAGCTCGTGACCGAACCCAGGATTTTTGCGACGTACCACAGTTCACAACGACAATAACTTGTTTGCTGACCAACTTACAAGAAGTCGGTTTGCAGACAGCTTTCACTCGCAGAGCAGTTTGAAGAATGAGTACACTACGAACACCACGCCGGCTGCAAAAGATGCACTTCCCCTCGTCGAGTAGTTTCCACATCAACTTCTGTGCTGTCGCATGAGTTGCCCCACCCCACACAGGAGAAAGCTGAGCTTCTGCGTCAGGCTCGGCCGGAGTTGAGGGTAGCCAGTTGCCTCCATAGTGCACCTCATGGGGCCTAGGTGTTGTGAATGCACGTCAACAAGAAGAGCAGGCAGCAACTCAATACGGAAGTTTCAGAGGACCCAAACAAGCGACCCCGAGTTTTTGCAGCCCTAAATGGGCCCTAAACCCTAGACCCTACACGCACAAATCAAGAAGTGCACCAAGTCAAACCCTAAACCGTCCCTAAACCCTAAACTCCTAAACCCTAGGCCCTTATGCTTTGATTCGGATGCTCTGGAGTTGCCTGGGCAGCCACCGGGCCTCCGAAGATTTCCCAAACCTCCGCGCGCCCCGAAGCCTGAAAGGACAATAGTAGGTTTAGGGTTTAAGGTTTGGGGTTCAGAGTTTAGGGAGAGACCCTAAGTTTAGGGCCTTGGGGCGGTCGAAGTAGAAACTGCGGAGAGCACAGTGGCAGCCTTCAACCGACGGGCGTACCCCTCCCTCAAGCCTGGAAGGCTTTTTGCGTAATGCCCCTCACCTGTTGGAGGATCCCGGAGCAGGAAGCCAGAACTGGTGTCTCTTTCGCCACTTCGGTGTGCAGCAAGATCGCTCAGGATCCGGATGTTAGGTCCTGCAGAGGACGGGCTTGATTTAGTAGGAATCAAGATTGCTCCGACAGCAGATGCCCTACGGCCTCTGAGCTTCTTCCGAGGCTTCCACCTCAGCTCTGAGCTGCGGGAGGCGAAGGCAATCTTGGATTCAAAGCTATCAGGGTTTTAGGCTCAGCGTGTAACGCTTTAAAAGGGGTTTCAGGGTTTCGGATGGACGTCAAGGAACTCCTGCTTGATTACTGTATTCATCTACAAGTTGCAGGTCTTCGGCTTCGAGTTTCGAGCCGTTGCTCTGAGCAGTGCGTTGCGGGAGCTGTATCCCCTCCCGCAGCAACTTTTTCGGATTTGCAATCGCGTTGCGTTTCCGGTGCTTTTGTTTCTTGTTTCTGTAGGGGTGCTGCTGCAGTTTCCTGTTTCTTCTTCTGGTGCACTTACACCTCCCCACGAGGAGCTTGCAAAAGAGCTTGACCACGGATGGAGCAACGCGCGGAGTTCCGACGCATGCAGACAGAATCCGTACAAAGCTCTGGCACAGCTGTGCCAGCTGATCAAGGTTTCGGAAACCGGGAGCCAAAATATGTTCTTTATTGTGACGGGAGCGTCCTTATCTCTTGAGAAAGGACACTGTTGCAAACTGTCGGCCCTCAACATGCAGCAATTCTCAATCAGGAATATGCATTTTCTCTGGGTTTTGACACATTCCTAGTTTCTGTAGCGCCGCCAATCGCCGGTCAGGTGCCAGGCGCTGTTACCTTGTTGTTATGATTGTTACCCTTATTGTTATTATCATTATTGTTATTATTATTATGATTATGATCATTATTATTTTTGTTCTTGCTGCTAGTGCTACTACGACTGCCATTTGTACTTCATCTTCTGTTGCTGCTACTGGGACATTTCTTACTGCTTCACACACACAGAGACACAAATAGTTGCCAACACTCAGTCAAACGACAGCAAGAACTCTAATGACGACTCGGGGCAGGAGCTGGCTGGCATCCGTGTCAGGACCCACCGGCATGCGGCAAGCGGTCGGCTTCGGCGAATGGGGATCCTGGTGAGTTGACCATGTTAAACCTCGGCGGGATATGCTTTTTTTCGCGGGTCTTGTTAACAGTATGTAGGTCGGTAAGTGTTAAGTGTCTGAGTGTAAGACTACATATATTATATGTGAATATGTATATTTTTTTTTGTGTTTGTTTGTGCGTACATCTAGTGCGCTTCTTTGGTGTACTATGTTTTGTTGTACCGAGTGCCGTACATGACGCTAGCATCATTGTCAGCGTGGTGGAACAGTGTGTGCGTCCGTGCCCCTACAAGAAGAACAGGCTCAGATAGGCATAGGAAGTTGTCGTCAACATGGCAGAACACGAACACATGCACGTATAAGCCATTCTCATATCATGAGAGACGCACGCATGTGCGCGTAGAAGAACTTCATGGAGAAAGGAGCTGTGGCGGAGATCCGCTTGCCCTGGAGTTGCTGGACCCTCCGCGAGAGGCCGGCGAAGTGTGATGGTAGGTACATGTAGTAGCAGCGGTAGTGATCATAGTAATCGTCGTCGTGTTGCTGGTGGTGGTTGTTCCAGTACTAGTGCTAGCATTCGTAGCAGCACGAGTATTAGTACGGTAGCAGTAGTAGCGGTGGTAGTAGTAGTAGTAGTAGTAGAAGTAGTAGTAGTAGTAGTAGTAGGCAGTAGTAGTAGTAGTAGTAGTAGTAGTAATAGTAGTAGTCGTTGTGGTGGTGGTGGTGGTGGTAGTGGTGGTGGTGGTGGTAGTAGTAGTAGTAGTAGTAGTAGCAGTAGTAGTAGTGGTGGCAGTGGCAGTGGCCGTGGCAGTGGC